TATTGAAACTCTCAAGCCACAATGCATAAAGGGTTTCAATCAGTAGCACCCTAGAAGGGGACGCAGAAGAAGACACAGGTCTGCTTCACACAGTTCCCTCTGCCCATTGCTTTGTCTTAGCTTAGAAGGTTACTTGAACCCAGCCACCAAGCATGGTTAATGATTTAGTGTGTTGTATGCAAATCCAGTCACTTAGTTTACCCAGTAAAGGATAGTCAAACAAGGCATGTTAGAGACACAGAGCTAAATACCTTCTAACATCCAATCCTAGCCCAAATGCCAGGATTATTACCATGTCAATAGAAAAAAGAAACGTGTGTAAACTGCATTCTCAAAATTAGCATCACGCTCTATTTTGCCTTAGAATGCTTTACCAACATCTACATGTTTACCTTCCAAGATGAATTGCTTCCAGGAAGTAGTGTCTAATGTCTAATAAATCATAGCCCAAAACTGACTTTTTCCAGAAAGGGAAGACCAGGTTCAGAGGACATTTTACATTCCTTCTCTTTTTTTAAGAACAACAAAAGCCCCTTAAACTAACATTTGAAACAGTGAGTAGAAATATGTAATAAGATCCCACAGGGTGTCATTACTGGTGCAAAATGCAGAACTTTTTTTTTTAAAGTATCGGTGAACTAAAAAGGAAGTGAGAGTTCAAAAAGGAGAGGTGATTTCTCATGTAAATTGAAACAGATTTGTGTTGGCCGCTAGTCAAGTGTTTACCTGTTTTTCATTAAAGCAGCAATGAATTTAATCAGCTTGTAGTTTAATGTATGCATTTCTCCCTAAATCAGAAGCACGCTCATCATGAATATTTAAATTGGATTTTAAAGCCATGAGAATTTCATTTAAATAAAACGTGAGATGAGGGCTCAGAAGTGCACAATTAGAATCTTTTAAATTCTGATAACAATTGTAAACACATTTTTTTAAAAAATGAAAGTGTTTTAATGGAGTTCTGGCCATAGTACTGGGGATTAAGCAGCTAGAGTTACAAAGCTTCAAGAACTTAATTAACATTTACATAAATACAGTAGTCCTCAACTTACAATTCATTTAATGACCATTTGAAGTTATGACAGAGCTGAAAAAAGTGACTTACAACTGGTCCTCACACTTACAACTATCACAGCGTCCCCATGGTCACATGATCAAAATTCGGGCGCTTGGCAACTGGCATATGTTTACAATGGTTGCAGCATCTTGGGTCACATGATCACCATTTGTGACCTTCCCAGGGGGCTTCCAACAAGCAAAGTCAATGGGGGAAGCCAGATTCACTTAATGACTGCAGCAAAAAAGGTCATAAAATCAGGCACAACTCACTTAATGACCACATCACTTAGCAACAGAAGTTGTGGTTGTAAGTCAAGGACTACCTATAGGAGTTTCCTTTGTTCTAAGAAAATGATCGTTTTGAATAACTGGGAAAGGAGAAAGGTCAGAATCAAGTCCAATAAAGCTGACAGGGCTTGTCTTTCTGACCGGTTGGTTTACACTGCCACCCAGAGTCACTTGCTGAAATGGGTAGCCCTATACATTGGATAAATAAATAAAAATCAGACCACTAAAGTGTATAAATCGCCAACAACATTAGAAAAATGCAGTTCAATAATTCATATTCCATAAAAGGTCAAACGCAATCCTGAGAGGGTAACAATTTTGTTGTTGGGTTTCCTTTGGCCTCCAAATACTCCTTGTAGCTGCTGCTAGAAACTTTATCCAACTCTGAATGCAGACACAGGAAACTTAAGCTGTTCCGGAGGGCCCTTTTCAAAACCTCTCTCTCTCTTTTTTTTTTTTTACATTTTTATGTTAACATAAAAGGGGACTGACTCATCTCCCTGCTTTGAAAATGGAGAAGGGGGTGTTTCTTAAAACTCAGCATTTTCCTTCCAACATCTTCTGTGTGAAAGCTGATCTTAAAATGAGGTTAATTGTGAGTCTGCAATTAATATATTGATTTTGGTGATGGTAGTGGTTCAGGAGCTCAAGGCAGTGATGCCTCCTCCTTTTGGCCCCATAAGAACCGCCTAGTGATGTAGGTTGGGCCGAGAGAGAGGGTCTGGCCCAAATTAATGCAGGAGCTTCTGTGATTGAGGTGGGCTACAACCGGAGTCTCTCAGCATCTAGTCCAGCACCACAGCTTTGCAGCATGGGAAGGGCAATCTTAGGAGGACCCAAACCAGTTTCGGTTTTGGTTTCCTCCCAAAGTACCGACACAGTCACCTCTGCAAAACAAGGAGGCCACAAAACTGGACTACTGCACAGCCGCAAGGGTGTGGGGAATAGAATGAGACACGGACTATGAACTATATGCCCCTTTTCTGGCCTTCTGGGTTGGGTGGATCGGAGGGTGCCATAAAACAACCCAACATTCAGGCAAGAAATAATGCAAGTATAGCCTGGATTGACAGCATGCAAAGATCTGGTTTGTTTTACTATGGTTGATTGGAACACATACCCACACGCACACGCACACAACTGGCTGGGGTCACAGGACTCACTGTGCCACAAACTAGCAAGACACATTTGGCTCCAAGCAATGTGTGAACTGGGTCCCCCTCCTCCAGTTAGTTCCATTTGCAAGGGAAAGAGTTGAGTCTCCCTCCTGGCTTCCACCACGTGATCTATATCAGAAGTGGGGACCCCTCTAGATGTTTAACTACAACTCCCAGCAGCCTCAGGGAGCATGGGCCCTGGAAAAGGATGCTGGGAACTATTGCTCTGCAATTTCCACAATTCTGAAGATTCTAGGCCTGACCTAAATAACTGAATGCTATGAATTTCACACCAGCTTTAACAGAGGCAAATTTTGAGTCCAGCTCATTGCAGCACAGAATTAGGACAGACTCATAGGTGCCTAAAAATATCCTTGTAATTTGGAATGCTTTGGGTCACTTCTTAAGTTATGCCCCACAGTTAGGGAAATGTTAATTTTTCCTAATATATTATAAGTCAATAGACATGGGTTGATGGCTTACAAGACTTGCTGCAATTTTTAAAAAGCTTTTCCCTGACATCTAGTGGCCAGGCTGAGAAATTAAAGCACAGCCTGGCCAATTTTAAAGAAAGTTATACAGGTAGTCCTTGCTTAATGACCACAATAGGGACCAGAAAATTGGTCGTTAAGTGGGGCAATCATTAAGTGAGTCACCATGTGACTGGACCCAATTTTAGAACCACTTTTACAATGGTTGTTAAGCAAATCGCAAGGTTATTAAGTGAATCCAGCTTCCCCAATAGACTTTTTTGCCAGAATTCACTTAACAACCATATGATTCACTTAACAACCATGGTGATTCGCTTAACAGCTGTTTAAAATGTCGCAAATCACGATCATGTGACTGTGGGGGGGTGCAATGGTTTGTGATGGTCGTAAGTGTGAGTACAGGTCATAAAGCACTTTTTCCAAGGCCATCATAACTTTGAACCATCGTTAAACAAATGGTTGTTAAGTGAGGACTACCTGTAGTTTGACATAAAGTTATAAAAGGCATATTCTTTCAAGTGGAATTTGCCTCCTAGTAACTTTACATAGACATCCCTGTATTTTCTTGACAGCAAAATGGAAGTCTTTGCCATGATTTTCTTCTGCTTATCTGGATTGACTTTCCCATCCAAGCACTAACCAGCTCTGATCCTGCTTAGGTTTCTGAGATCAGTCAGGATTAGCTTGGCGCTGCCACTTACCTAAATAAATAAAGCTATGTCTGGCTTATTAATTAATGTTTTTAGTATTTATGTACAGGGTTTGTTGTTTAGATCTGATTTTTAATGGATTATTTATTTAACTATCTATGGGGGGATTTTTA